CGAATCGTGATTAGGTAGGTTCACATCGAACTATGTAAAGCAAATCTATCATATTTATGTTTTCATGGCAGATGTAGGGAAAATATGTGTGACTTATTATTTCTAACAGGCGCATAGTTTCGGTGAGATCAGCAGCTTCTTAATAACAGAAGGTATTTCACTGACACCAGATATGCAACCATTTACCGCATACATACATACATATCCTCCAAACAATGTCTGAAAATGAGCAGGAATCTCTGAAACGTTGTAATACTGTACTCCGGCGATTTTATTTCTGCCGCCTCTGTATATATAAAAACAGTTAGATCATCATTTACAAAACCTTCGCAGAACAACAAAGTTATAAGTACCCCTAATATCCAAATATTGCTAAAATATATTAATATTTTTCCTGTAGCGGTGTGTCTTTGACCTGTTGGAGTTTGTTACCCATTGCACAGTCGGCAGTGGCCTCCACGACGATGCAGCATCGCGCCGTGCACGCAACGCCAACGGCAGCCACGCTATTTCGAATTATGAGCACATTATACATCGGACATTTATCATTTAATTTTTCCCGTGGTTTCCGGGATTGGCACCTTCTTAATGATAGAACGTCTTTGACTACTACCACCAAGTTTCAACCCCTACAAAAATTTGCGAAAATGATCAGGAGCCTCTGAAACGTCAAAAATGAAGTTCAAGCGATTTTTATTTTTTTCGTATTTTCCCCTAACTCAGTCGCGATTGGAGGAATACATCCCTCACACAGTGAAAGTTCCTAAACCAGGGTCCAACGGCTGGTTCAACAAATCGTGTGACACTGCTCGCCAGCAGAAGATCAAGGCTCACAGAACCTACTTACAAAACCCCACTGTAGAGAACAGACAAGCCGACGTCGAGTCCAGAAACAAATATAACAAAGCGGTTCGCAATGCCAAAAACCAGCATGATATAAAAGTTAGACACAGGGTAATGTCGCAGCGCAATGGCAGTCGGTCTTTCTGGACGCTGGCCAAGCAGATTGAAAAGAACTTCTCACACAGTAGCCTCCCACCACTTATGTGTCAGGATGGAACTATTGTATTCGACTCAAAGGCCAAGGCGGAAGTGCTAGCCAAGATCTTTGCTGCCAACTCCACCATGGACGTCCCCAGCAACGCCCAAGTGCCGTCAATTCAAAGGGTTCCCCACACCATGCGGGACGTAACATTCAGGCATAAGACCGTAAGACGAGTGCTCTTGTCGCTCGACATCAACAAAGCTTCTGGTCCGGACTTGATTCCTGCCATTGTACTGAAGAGATGTGCAGCGGAGCTTGCTCCAGTTCTTTAGCGTCTCTTCCAGACATCTTATGAATCCGGCACCTTCCCAGAAAACTGGAAATTTGCTCATGTATAGCCCATCCCAAAAGAGGGATCTAAAACCGACCCCTACAACTACAGGCCTATAGCTCTGCTTTCTGTTATAAGTAAAGTGATGGAGAGGTGCATAAATCGCGAGCTTCTGGACTACCTCGAACGTCACAGCTTACTTAGCGACAGGCAGTACGGTTTCCGGCACCAACGATCCACAGGGGACCTCCTAGCTTACGTCACGCAACTGTGGAGTAAACTCATCCAGTCTCATGGTGAGGCTCATGTCGTTGCTCTTGACATCACGAAAGTGTTCGATCAGCTGTGGCACGCTGCCCTCTTAAGCAAACTTCCATCCTACGGCCTCCCAGAAAAGCTTTGCAGATGGGTGGCTGACTTTATCTCTGGCCGCAAGATATCCGTCGTAATTGACGGATTCTCCTCTTCATCCCACAACGTCAACGCGGGTGTTCCCCAGGGATCGTCTTGGCTCCAACACTGTTTCTCTTACATATCAACGACCTCCTTTCCTGCACGATCAACCCAATCCACAGCTTCGCTGATGACACCACTCTACATGCAGGAATTCAGAGTGACAAGCCGATCTCTGCCGCTGAGCTGAAAAAAAGAAGACTAGCGACGACTTCTTCTCTGACAAGAGACCTGGAGGCTATCACTGCTTGGGGACGCAACAATCTTGTACAGTTCAATGCTTCCAAAACACAGTACTGTACTTTGACCAACAAAAAGCGTCCTAGCGCTCATACAGTTTCGATGGACGGTCGAGTTCTACCAAAGAGCCATTCATTTCGGCTGGTCGGAGTCCATATCACCGAGGACCTGATCTGGCACGAACACACCTCTTCAATAGCTGCAGCTGCTGGGACAAAGCTAGGCTATTTGTTTAGGACTAAGAAGTACTTTTCTCCGCATGACCTTCTCACTCTATACAAGGCCCAGATAAGGCCTAGCCTCGAGTATTGCTCCCACATTTGGGGTGCTGCCGCCCCGACTACATTGTCCATGCTCGATGCTGTCCAGAGGTGGGCGGTCCGACTGATCGACGATTCTTCTCTAACAGACAGTCTCGGGACTCTTTCGCACCGGCGGGCCGTCGGCGATCTAGCTCTTTTCTATCGCTACACCAACGGGCTTTGCTCCTCAGAGCTCTCTTCCATGATGCCGCCGCGCGATGTGCCTGCCAGACAGACCCGTCTGACTTCGGCGTCCCATCCTAACCGTGTCAAACTTCGTAGATCCAGAACTGGCCTATACGACCGCTCCTTTGTCCCGAGGGTGTCTAGATTGTGGAACAATCTACGGGAGGAAGCTTTTCCCAGTTCTACTAACCTTAGGCAGTTCAAAAATCGTATTAACAAAATTTCTTTGGGATCATCATAGCAGCCGCGGTGTTCCGGCATTTAGGCTTCTGCCTGCGCGGCTGTTTCGATATAAAAAAAAATCTTACAGAATAGTTTTCGATTTATATCGGCAAGGTAAACTAGTGTATTTTGCTATAAAATGCCCTTTGAACTAACCCATGTATATTGCTCAAAAAAACTAGTTATGATGGCCGGAAAACAGATGTCTTGGGATAAACAATTAGAAATTCTCACAAACTACTTGACCAATCTACTCCAATTTTGTTGTGGTTATTTAGAAGTACCAATCCTACGGAAATGAAGAATTTCAGATATCGAGAAACCGTCGCCGCATTATCAATATGTGCCAAGACCTGCAGTTTGCCTCGGTTTTCAGCTATAACTTTTTTGCTATTAGTCGGATCTTTTTTCGTGAGGTCTCATTTTGAAGGTCTCATAAATACTGCCAATTATTTAGATTGAATCCCAAAAAACACGTTTTCTTATTTTTTGTTGTCGAATAAAAAGTTTTCCCACAAAAATTGGTGTACCCATGTCATGCGTCCATGTTTTGAATACCCGCTTGAGCAACTTGCAGCAATAAAACCAGATTTTAGAATTATTTCGCAAACCAGGGGTATCTTCGTCTAATATGATTAGACTAATAGTGCTTCGCTGCAACACCCAACCCCGAACAAAAACAGTCAAACTTTACACACTTTTCAAATTACTATTGAACAAACAAACAGAACATAATTCACTTTTTAAGTGCAATCTGTATAGCTAATATATTGCTTAGTCACAAGTCACGGTAGTCGTATATACGTATAAATCGTAAGAATAACGTTAAGTGATGTCGAAGAGGGACAGCGTTTGGAATACCAAAAATCGCAATGCTCAGTTCCTATAGGTATAACTTAATAGTTAGTATGCCTCTGTCGCCATGATGTGTTAAAAAGCAACACAATGGAGTTATAGTACAAAAGCAAGTGTCAGACATCTACGGGGCGGGGGGCGCGCGCCCCCCTCTAAATCCGCCACTGAATAAAGTTGTATTTGCACCTGGCGTAACAGCGAATCATGGATATACCCTATTTCACGAGTATCCATCACGGTAGAATGACAGCTGGTTATCTAGTAATATTTCAAAATTTCCCATATCGGCAAAGGATACATAATTCTGACGGATCCGTCAATCAGTAAAGATTCATTTATACTTGCTAAAAGTTCTTTTATTTATAAAAGTTCATTTGCATACAAAAAACAAAACGCCACAAACAATTTTTTGCTAGATTTGCACCCGATTCATTATAGCCAACGTTGCAGACTAACACAAAAATGTAAAAAAAATCATACGCGTAAATGCGCATGGCCTCCAAGCGACTTGACCGATTTTAAATAAAATATCGATTTAGTAATGTGAAAATTAAACCCTTTTCATCTCTAACCCAAATGAGGAAAACTCGCTTACTTTGGATTACTCACCCCCCCCCCCCCTTTCCATAACTTTCAAACAGTCACGATAGATAAAACCCTCGACAAAAAAATGCACTCAAATCGTTTCATCGGTTGGCGAGTTATCATGCCACATACAAAACTAAAACCTATTTCACGAGTATCCATTACGTTTTGATGTCTACTGAGGTGAACAGCTGATCAGTGAGATCTTTGGAAAGTTGGCAATAATTAAACGGCTGTAAGCCTAGTAAGACTTAAGTCCGTATTCACAGCTCTTGTTCACATGCCTACATTCCTTTAGTGGCTGGAACATTTAACAATAAAATATACTAAGTATACAGAAAAATGTAAGAAAATTACTATAGTACATCTGGGATTTATTGATTACGAGGTAAGCCAATAGAACCGACTGTGTAGTCCTTTCAAGTAGCTGTAATTTTGCATGTAAAAGTAATGTCGACACGAGTTTCTGGTTAATTGTCCGTCATCAGTGTAACGTAATTTGAATATGGCTGTTAACTGCCCTTTAAAATCACATGGTGTTCAAGTTCTAAAAATAGGGATGATCAACAAAGTCAAAAACCAGTTTATCTCATTTCATTCCTGCCTGACCTGAAACTTTTCTAAATAAAAGAGTACGAAACGGATCCGTAGCATACAAAAAAAACAACATGATACGGCTCTGTCTACCTGGCGTTGACGTATCCGTCAGAATTGTGTCATTTATCGCTTTAGGAATTTTGAAATATTACTAGATTATCAGCTGTTATTTTACCGTAATGGATACTCCTGAAAAAGACTGTTTCCTAATATAGAGGGTTCGTGACGTGACAAACAGAATGAATATTACTGGCAAATCATTTATTAGAAAAATACAAATATAGAAAATACATATTGCGAGTTGAACTCGCCAAATCTGAAAACGAACAATCCTACATGCTAAATGGTAACCATACAAAATGGAATACTACTGTGACACTTTGGTACACAGACAAGGATAACTTATGTATTTAAAATACAGTGATTGAGCAACGATCACAGCCTTATAGCTTGAATGTTATTACATTGTGAAACACCGACATCTTATAGACAAAATATCTCGTAGGTATTTGGAAGAAAGTGGATAGGCTATGATCATAGCCTAAACCTTATGTTCTCACTAAAAATATTGGGTTATACAAAATAAAAAAAACGTAACATACATATTCGAACACTTAACCTATGATTTAGATATTTAAAAAAAGAGTGATCGGGCAATGATCAGAGCCCAATACCTCGCTCCTAATTACACAGTCACACACTTTGCGTATCAATTTCTCGGAGATCAGAAAATAGTCAAGCCTCCTGCAAAAAAAATCCAATTTGTAAAAGAAGAAATAAATTAGTTTGTTTTAGAATAATGATAGTAAGGGTACGTCCATTTAAACAAGTGAAGTTTGCTAATTTTTTCCTAAATTTGTGACATTTGGGGGCTGTCTTCTATTGCGTTTACCTAGACGGCTTTGGCACGATATAAACAAATCTACATAGCTCCGGGTGAAAGCATCCAGTATAATGATCTGAATACGCTCGCGAAGTATCAATATCAGCTTTAAGACGCTTTACATTTAACCTACACACCTCGCGACGACTAATTTGGATTTGACGCAAATAGTAATAATAATGAAACGTCTTAATTGGGCAAAGTTCAGTGTAAGCTTTTCTACCACCTAACCCGTGGAATATCAATACAAAAAAATTTAAAAAAAATACAGCGGTTTCAACACGAGTATCCATCATGCTTTGACGTCTACTGAGGTGAACAGCTGATCAGCAAGTGACACTTTGGTGTTAGCCTGCGACGTTGGCAATAATAAATCCAGTAAAACTTGTTTATAGCTTTTTGTTTTTGATATGCAAATGAACTCCTCTAAATAAAAGAGCTGTTAGCAAGTAAAAACTGAATCTGTAGCGTACAAAAAATTAGCCATATTTTCCTTATGTATTTACTTGGATTATACTTTATTCTGTCGTTATTGTATACAGGTGCCTATTAATTTTCAACAAATTCTTTTTTTTTTACATCTCGTATTGTTAAGGGGGTTAGATGGTAGAATAGATATATAATCTAAATCTCGCCTCCTGTAAGAATATTACAAATAAAAGACGTTAATTATTATTATTATAATACACCAACAGGAAACGTTTTCATATCGATGACATCTTTGTGAACTATTTCTTAAAAGCTATTGATTAGTGCAACTTGAGATTCAAAGAAACCACAAAATTTATATTTAACATGAATCAAGAGGTGATTGTTTTTTGGGTTTTTTCGAATCACCCTGAACAAAAATAAAACCTTATAAGCAATTTTTAAGTATGGAAAGCCCTAAAAATCGTCAAATTCGATGCCTAAAAACGCTGTTAAAAATTGTTATTTTTGAGATCGTAGTGTCTGAATTAAAGTGCAAACTTCAAATTTCCTAAAAGTATCTTAGGCTTAGTCTATTTGAAAGCAATGTTATTTGAATGTTGATAATAGGATATGAGTCACATCCCTGCCAGTGTATGGACTATTAAGTATGCTAGAAAGGGGCATCCAACAAACGTGATTATGAAAAAAAAAATAGTTGGAAGAGGCTCAGGGTCTATAAGAAGAGTTTTCGCATCTACAAAATTTATGCATCTAAAACATATCTTTTACCTTTCAACATTTTTCGGTCATATGACTGGACTTTGTTTCGTGATTAAATGTATGATACATGGATGTTGGGAAGGACATAAAGAAATGAACTTTGTTATGGTATGCCTGGTGATAGAAGCCCAATTCCGTAATTTTGACATATTTGATCAAAATTCGCCTATTTTCGAATATCTAACTTAGTATTTTATATGGGTGTATGAATGCAACACCTACTATTTCAAATTTATGATAAACTATGCTAAGATACAAAACATATATAACAATAAATTAATGTGTTGCGCCACTGTGCTCACATTAAAAACAAAAGCTGAAACAAATCAATACACAATTATAATGATACCACAGCCTAGATAACAATCAGCTATGAAACCCTCCCAACAGTGCCAAAACGGCTGCCATTTCGGCGGAGAAAATATAATATTCCGATATGATCTAAACATTTATAGTGTAGCTTGTGTGAACCAATAATAAAGACGAATATGTAAAAATAGAAGAGACGGATTACTGATGGAAATTTATGAAAGAGCTTTATGGAAAAGTATGTATTCTTCGCTGCTTCCATATTCTCAATAGATTGCATTTCCAATGTAAACACTGTTAAAAACACCAGGCAAACCCAACATACACTGAATCACAAGAATTTACGTATCGGAAAAAACGAGAGCAGACCACCAGCAAAGTGACAACCAACGAAATTAAACCTGTTACTTCTGTCGACTCCTCAGCTAGGATGCTTCTACATACAGGGCGAGTTTTTAATGTGTAATCAGTCTGTAGTTCCGATATTTTAGGTAACTATGAAGATCGCTCTCTCAAGTTTTTGCATGCCTGAAAAATTCTACTATGTGATGCAATTTTTGTTTGTTTTACGTAGTTTTACGTATAGGCAACAACATAAGCGAGTGTTTAGATAATACTCAAGTTGAATTTGTGAAATTGGGTGAATTTTGAGCAAAAATGCCAATGTTGCGAGCTTTTGGGCTTTTAAAAAACTATCAAGTACTGAAATCGATAGAAAAATGTTGAATGTTTGAATTGCATATGTTATAACATATACAAATTTGAAATTTCATAGATCAGCTTGAAATTTGAGTTATTTTCAGAGCCGAAAACTCCGCTTATACACCCTGATCCTTTCTCCTACGCCTCCTCTAATCACCGCGACTAATGATTCCCGACATGAAGAAAATATATCAGTTAAAAAAATGTATGGCTTGCTTTGGTCCCCAACAAGTTTATCAGATTGTTTTCGAAACTGAATTGTTAATTCTATGATGATAGCAAATTGATACTTACCAGCCTATATTTTTTCCTCTACAGTTCATCATATATGTCCAAAATGTGTAGGCTACTGTCTCAGGATACAAATGTCTAAAAACATCAATGTATCCACAGATTAAGAGGTCGTCCATTGCTAACCTCTCCTCAGGTGTGAAACCAGCATTATTTACATTGTTTTTTGGCCTTGCCAAGTCAATTTCATGATGTGAAACATTCATGTCACCAGCAATGATGACTGGCTTATTTCCCTCTAGCGCCAGGATAAACCTCTTGAAAGAATCGTTCCAATCTACGCGTTTCGGCAAAGTAATTAGCCCTCGACCTGCAAAAAATAACGAAATAAATGCATACCCCAACTGCGGACGACACTCAACCTTCAGCACTTTTTTGCGTGCGAAAAAAATTTAGTATATAGTCATTCAGGTACTAGTGCGTCAAACTACTCTCCACAACCCTATATTTCAAAATTTAAGATGTCTCAGAAATACATTCAGATGAACTTTTCTGTTGAAATATGTAAAATCCCTGTCTCTTGAATATTCTATTTTGCTTTTGAAACGCCCAATAGTGATGTACGATATATACCGGTTACTAAATCTAACTATGGGGTTAAACAGTTACCACTTAGCTTAGGCCCATCAAGTGCAAATATTTTATCATATCGGTAGAGGAAGCTGAAGCAAGTAATTGCAGTTATAAATGTGCTGCAATGATTGAAACGTGTGAAGCCAAGCATTAGACAGGGCCCGTAACTGGGACTGCTAAGAATAATGGTTATCATTAGTTCTCAAAAAATTACTACCATATACTCACCTGCATTAGGCACATAGACGCATACGACATAGTAGTCTTCATATTCTGCAGTGATACAACGGCCATCATCATCTTGCTCTTTATCGCCAATACCATACTTCACATCCAAGGGCTTCTTTATAGTGAACAGGCCAACCCCAGCATATCCATCCTTTTTGCTTGCTAGCCAATATTTATTATAGTTTTCCAATTCATCCAATTCTTTGGGAAGGTCATTTTCCTTACATCTTGTCTCTTGAAGACAGAATATGTCTGGCATTTCTAATTTCACATACTTCAAGCAACCTTTCTTGATCCAACTTTTTAAGCCTCCAACATTCCAAGTACTTATTTTCATGTTATGAGTTTGATTGTATACATTTTTCTTCACGCAAGACCAGTCGATCGTTTCCCAGTTGGTTTCAGTATTATTGGCAAGACCAGCCTTTGACTGTTTTCCTTTTACTGCTGTAAAAATTATACACTCAGTGGTAAAACTACATTTTGATGATTTTTTTTCTCAGTAGATGGTAGGTACCACCCATTGGCTTAAATTTGCTCATTTAATTTCTTGATGATGGCCACCATTAGACTTGATGTACCGGGTAAACCAAAATTATGTTTCGTTATCCTAACTTTGAAATCACTTCAATATGAGCAGTGGTTGGTGTTTTAGAGTTAAATGAACACCCTACTAAAAAAATATAAAAGCTACAAAAAAATTTGTGATACATATTAAATGGACTGAAAATAATTGAATGAGGGTTATTTGGTCCAATGCTTTGAGTTATAGCATATAATTCTTGAAACATTTGTAATAAACATGGATAGATTTGATATAATCAATATGTCAATGCAATGACTCAGTTCAGCACCTAACAATAACAGTAATCTTTACAGTAGAACCTCGATTATCCGGCACTCGATTATACAAATATTTCTTAGAACTAAACTGACTTATTTTTACTTACCCGCATTTGCTCATACACGTACACAAGGAGTAGGATTACCCGAAATAGTGTGTCGATTAAGAAAAGGAGAAAGCGCTACAGCACTATCAATAATTTATAATGTTCCCCGAACTACAATTGATGATTTTAAAAAACATGGAGATATCATTGAAAACCATATCAGCAAAATGGAATCAACAAATGGGGACGTCACTCATCGAAAAACGATGAAATTAGCTACCCACAATGAACTAGATGAGGTTGTTTTTTACTGGTTTGCTCAGCAGCGAAGTCAAGGAATTCCTTTATCAGGCACAATTATTTAACAAAAAGCATTAGAGTTCAATAAAAAATTGCCAAACTCCGATCCATCTTTTAAAGCAAGCAGTTATCTATTGAAGGTGAAAAATTAAGTGCTAATAGTGTCAGTGCAGTAGAATATGTTAACAAGCTTCGGGAGGAAATTAAAAAGCGTGGTTTACAAAGAAATCAAGTTTTACAACTGTGATGAAACTGGCTTAAATTGGAAGGCGCTTCCTCAAACGACATTAGCTTCATCTTCTGAGACGTCAGCACCTGGATATAAAGTTCAAAACGAACGCATAACGGTTATGGTTTGTGCAAATGCTAGCGGTGATCATAGGATTCCGCTGTTGGTCATTGGAAAAGCAAAAAAACCTCGTGCTTTCAAAAACATGGATTTGGGATTATTGCCTGTGAAATATAGTGCCCAAAAAAGTGCATGGATGAGTCAAGAGATATTTATTGATTGGTTTAAAACATGTTTTCTCCCTGAAGTTAAAAAATACTTATGTGAAAATAATCTTCCCGAAGAAGCTATGCTTTTAATGGATAATGCACCAACTCATCCTATTGAAGAGTTGAAGTCCGGAGATGGTAAAATAACTTGTCACTTTTTGCCTGCAAATACGACATCCTTGATTCAGCCTATGGATCAAGGGGTTATTGAAAGTTTTAAGAGAAGATATCGAAAGGCTTTTATTCAAGGACTTATCTTTGAAACAGATGCGGACTTAAAACAGTATTGGAAAATGTTTACCATAAAAGATGCCATATATGTATATTGCCACTGAAGCTTGGAACAGTATACCTGCAGAAACCTTGAATAAAAGTTGGAATAAATTGTTGTCAACCGAAAACAGCTTTGAATCAGAAATAAAATGGAACACCTAATATTTAATCCGTAAAGCAAACATTTTCATATCTTCCTGGATTTGAAGACATCTCAGAAAATGACAAACATTTTACCAGACGACGAATTAATTAACCACGTTTTACAGCCTTTAGAAGCCAATGATCATGAAGATTGTGAAGATGACTTACCTGATAATCCAAAAGGTAGCATTAGCCATGGGGAAGCTGAGGATATGGTAACAAAAATTATACAATGGTATGAAAATCAAGAGGAAGCAGAACTCGTTCAACTAGTATTATTGAGGAAAATACGCTGCCTTGCAAGAAAAAATAAGTTAGGTTACTGTTTATGACATTATTATGTTTCCACATATATGTTTGTTTATTACTTTTTTTGATTACTATGTTCACAAGTTGTTTTTAGTTTGTTTTAATAAATTCCTGTTGTTTTCTATTTTCCGTCTTTTTCCCGTATCCGTCGCACCTTGGTCCTGACCCCTGATGGATAATCGAGGTTCTACTGTATTTGTAAACACAATTGCTATATAATAGCTGTAAACCAGTTGTGATACAAATCTTGTTCTTAAGCACATTATTCAAACCTGTCTTGAAAAAGTCATTGTATATGGTTCTCAATTTAGTAATATTTTATATATTTTTTTAAATGCACATAGTTTTAAAAACTTTTTTACGTCTGCTGGTAAATGTTTTAGACAATTATAAAGGGGTTGTTTTTCAAATAACGCAACTCTATGCTTAGGATAAATATATTTAAAAAATGAACCTCTTATTTAGATATATGAGGCACTTTCTAATAAACACTCCAAAAACTGTTAAAATTCTGAAATATTTCACTTTTGTATTACAATAATTCGATCAAAGTCTGAAGTTTCTGAATAACATAATTCCATACCTTAATCTGGATTCAAAATTTGAGCAATACACAACTTTCAAAGTTTTTCTATCTAAATATTTAACAATAATTCTTATAGAATAACATACCTCATTGAGCTTCTTTCTTAAATAACTTATATGGTTGTTCCACCTGATGAAACTATCTAATTCAAGACCAAAAAATCTAGTATTGTCAGACACTGTTATTGTTGTACCATTAAATAGAATTTAGAAAATTTGCTCTACAGTGAGTAGTTCAAAAAAACATAGCACAAGTTTTAGTTTTATTAAGAATTAGCTTATTGTTAAAAAAAAACAGTGTTGTACATTGTCCATATTATATCCACCTGCATTCTCAGGATCTGTAGCAGTAGGTAAAAAGCAAATTTGTGTCATCTGCATACTTTGTGATTATGCATACATCAGGTTTGATACAGGTGTCGATGTCATTTAAAAAAATTACAAACAATGTGGGACCTAATATACTCCCCTGAGGCACCCCTGTTTTAACATTAAGCTCATTCGAAATAGCTGTTCCTTATGTCCCAATAGTTTTACTTTTTGCTTACAATTACCAAGGTATCATTCTGTCCAAAAAAGTGCTGGTCCACTTATGCCATATATTTGTAATTTTTGCAAAAATATGCACCTAACTGTAGTTATGAGCAGTTGAGTGAAAAATCTAATAGTGGACTCGGTCATGAAGGTAATTCGATCCCAAGGAGCATATATATTAAAAATAGAGACAACCCTCTAAAACAACCATTTTTCTACTTTACCGACGTATAGATTGAAATAGATATTCGACTTCAGTAATCAATTCAGCTTACCGCCTTTGGCCTTTTCCTCAGGATAGGTAAGTGTAGCACTAGCGCTGGCTTCAAGATCTGACAGCTAAAAAAAGGGTGAATAATGTTGAAATTATGAAAGGAAAATCGATAACACTACATGCTTCAAAATTAAACGCACCTTAGTCGTAGATTTTACTTTTCGTTTCTTTTCGGGAGTGCCAGAAGCAGAGTCCTGTAAGCAAAAGAAGTTGTTATGAAAGAGAAATCGAAAAGGCTCATAAGTGGTTCAAATTAAAACACACCTTTGATGTAGATTCTCTGGGTGCACGTTTAGATGCCATTTTGTATGATTTGGATATCACTATATGCACTACCCTTGCTACAACCACAAGCAAACGCGTCTGCTTATTAAGCACAAATATCCATATATGCTTAGTACACAAGCTTGCCTTCGTTCCAATCTTTCCCGCCAAACGACACCCAAACGAGAAACGGTAGTGAACGAGTAAAGAACCGAAGAAACCCTTTATATTATGGTAAAGGATGAGAAGCAAATGAGGTGTGGTAACAGTCACATGACTAGTTACGTCTCAGTTTGTTGGTTAAAAGACATTCTAGAATATTCCATTTTCAACAGCCAATAAAAGTTTCCTGTAATACCTTAATCATAGAACGATTGATAAGATACTTCTTTATACATATTTTATATTAGACTAGCCGATAACACAGTTTCCTGTAATGTTTTAATTAGAACGGTCGATATGACAGTTTTCTACAAACGTTACAGATCAATGGATAAATCAGTTTCCTGTAAGTTTTGTATTTTGATTTGACATATGACATGTTTGTTGTCAAATATAAATGGCTACTGGAACTGGATCAGTCTTATACAGAGATAAACCCTTCAAGAGAGAAACTCCAATACTAAAATAAGTTACCGTATTTCTGCGACCTCTGGTGGATTGACCGCACACCAGTGCTGAATAATGGGCCTTTCCATCTTAATAGGACAAACCTAATGGGGCTTTTTACATTCTGTTAATAATAAATCGTCTTACGTAACAAAAACACTACAAATGGGTTAATTTCCACTTTCTTAGTCATTAATACATGACGCGCATTTCGACACACAGCGTCTTTCTCCAATGCTGGGATGAGTCGCGCGTCACGTATTAATGACTAATATAGCAGAAATTAAACCATTCGGAGTGTTTTTATTACGTAAAATGACTTGTGGAAAATCTTTCCAGGGGATGCGAAGGGAGGAATTAAAATTCAAGAAATAATTATAGTCATTTTATGGTCAATCATTCATATACAGATTATATCACCTTTTCTCACAAAGCTAAATATAATAATAATAATGTCTTTAGAAATCCATCCACACTGCGAGGCGAAGTTTATCCAGCTGGCTACTCTACCACTTAACCTCACAGCGCAGAAACACATACAAAAAAAAGATATAACAATGAATAGCAATCGACTAACTAATATATACAATAATTAAGGCTTAAATAGAGTAATCTTAAGATGTTATACATCAATACTACATGGCCCGCTCTAACAAAAAAAAAAAGAAATATATCAGCTAGCTTGGCTAGCAGACCCCAGACGATGGTTCTTAATGGCTCTCTTGAATGCAAGTATTCCCTTCTTTTTGCAATTGTTATTAAGACTATTATACACCTTGACAGCGTTGTAGGTGAAGCTACGATAGAAAATGTTGCTCCTATAACTAGGTATATTGAAGTCAGAGTTATGTCTGAGATTCCTGTAATTGAGATCCCCACGTGGTACCAGCCTTTTTAGTAGATAAGTAGGTAGCCTATTGATTTTGATTCGTTGTACCAAAATTAGTAAATTATATGTGAAAAGCTGGTCAACCCTCAATCATCTTCTTAGACACATGGCTAAACTTTCGCAGACCACAAACGAACCTACAGCAGCGATTTTGAAGTTTTTGTACTCGATATCTAGTCACGTAATCAAGACAGAAAAGTAAACAGCAATTGAATAATTTATTAACGATAGCACCAGAGTCTCAGCCAGTTTTTTGCGAGTCTTGAAATTCAGAATATGGCGATTGTTGTATATCTTCAAACGCATGTATGTTAAGCAAGATAAATGCGTAACATGTTGCTTAAACCTCAAATCTGAATCCATGATGATCCCTAAATTCTTCGCATGGTCTACTATAGGAGTATGGGTGTCGTTAAGACTAGGAACAATTCGGCCATCTAACCATTGTACTAACAGTTTTGGGCCAAATAGCATGGTAGAACATTTTGAAGCATTGATCTTCAGACAATGTCTTTTGCAGTACTCTTCAATGTTAACTAGATCTAAGTTCAATTTGTATGATGCTGAGGAGTATAAGGATATGTGCAATTACTCAAATATTTGACGATATCCCCTACCACTTTGTTTATGAAGTATAAGTCCCATCAATTTGTCTTCTAGGCTATATCTCCGTCCCTGTGATCTACTACCAGCCAGTGTGATCTGGCTTTTGATAAAAGTAGCTACAGTGCTGTAAAATTCTGCAATGCTTCATTTAATACTTCTCTTGTACTTCTGGTACTTCTAATCAACCTCCTTGTACATCTTAGTGTTCTATTAGCTCTAGAGAGGTGACTGGCTATCTTATATAGCTTCTTAGCTTTTGGACTTAAGTGGGTTTCTCTGGTTACATGTAACTTATGCAATAATCCAGATTCTGTTCTTGAGGAACCTTGAAATAAAGAATGAAATTGATATTATATTACATATATGTTCAGAATCCATTACAACTGTATTTTTACAAGACAATAAATTCAATAAAATGTTCCATTTCTAATTATAAATGCAAGTGCTTTATAGTCAAAGTTGACCAAACTTCGTTTAAAGTTTATATCATGCTGATGTGATTTGAAATTAAAATTATTATAATTAGTATTTATTGTTATGTATAGAAAACAATTTTGTTTTCAAACTTTCACAATTTTGAAGAACTTCTAGTAAGATTTGCTTTTTTTGGTAAACAATGTTTCCCTTGGTATAATAGGCTAAGAGATTCATGCAAAATTACTTTACTCACTTGCTTCTGAATAATGCTCCTCAATGGGTTCTACTGTAGTTACATCAAGATTTCCTGGTTGTCAAGTTGTAACTGAGCAAACTTCTCCCAACTGTTGATATGATGCTGAAGTTGATGGTTTTCCTGTAACCACACAATGTACACTATCAAAAAAAAATTACATGATCAATTTTATAATGTTTCATACAGTTGCTGTGCTATCATCAATAAACTGTTTTGGAGCGCATTCTGGGAATGATTGAAACAACTACCAATGAGATGTTTGCAGTTAAGATAATGTTATCTATAATTTCCCTGTATAAATATTCACCTTATAACATTCCCAGTGTTAACTGGAGCTCAGTCTAACTTATTCCAAATATAAATAATTCCCATCAATGAGTTGAAACGAGTTTTAAATGGAAAATATTAACTAGATACTTCGTTTATTGAAGAAAGACACCAAACCCAACAATGTTCACACATATTTTATGTGACTTGCTACATGCACTGTGTGGTCTACTAATGTCAAACCAGGAGGGTCGAGCAGGAGACAACACAAAGGTGCATGTAGCCTCACCAGTCATGTAAAATATGCATGTATATGTTTGGATTTACTCTTCCTTCGATAAACAGACTATAGTTATGTAGTTTCAATCACTTGTACTAAACACTGTTGAAAGTCACAACTTATAACAGTTTCCAAAAAGCTGAATATATGTAATTGAAGTTGAGATATGTAAAATTGGGTGATACTAAAAATTAAACAAACCAACATACCAAGAATTTCATCAGTTGCGTTGGATATTGATCAGGAAGATTTAGTGATGGCACAGCATCCTTCCTAAGTCTGTTGTTACCATAATTGTCTTCCACTGTGAAGTGAATACAATCCACCCATTGCACAAAAACATACATAAATTTCGTCGGGTTTGGAAATCTATATCGTACTGAAACACTGTCCTAACAGCCTCTAACTGCGCATTTGCGGTACCGAGACATGGTTTCTGAAAAACAACATTCAGTTATAAAAATATGTTCAAGTTAAATGACTCAAGGAAATAGATATGTTGCTAGACATGACAACATAAACAAAATCAAATTTAACTTTTGCAGTTGTAATAATGTAGTAATACTGTAATGATACAATATTAAAATTGAAGATTTTAGCAAACATAAGCAGGGCCGTTGAGAAATAAGCTCGGGCTCCTATGCCCAAAAATTCTCGAGCCCCCATGCCGAAATATTCTCGGGCCCTTTTCTTGACATGAGCGAACCTAAGGACGTCTATCCATCAGTTCAGTAAGCGAGCCTCGTGCTCCCCTCAGCGCCGAGCCACGAGCTCCTCTCTTGTCGACGGCCCTGAAGTTTTGTACCCAACATCTTAGCCTATAAAAATAGATTATATCACTATACTTACATGCTGCAATAAACAAGCGCTGTAATCACTCAAATTTAACCACACATAAACAAAAAATAAAAGTATTTAACGGTCCAAACCAGAAAACACAAGGAAGAAAGGAAGCAGTGACAGCTGTCAAATATCAGCTTCCAATTCCGACAAACGACAACAGCGATACCAGCGGCATCCAACGGATTGATCACCAACTAAAAACACTGTTCCAATTCATCCCATAAGAGTGAATACCCCCTGCCCCCTGGTCTTATATGTGTTTTGTGTGTTGGATGACGGATGCATCATGTCGTAGTAAATAGCATTATCGGTATTTTTTTTTGTTAAACAAGCGGCGTTGCTTAAAAACGCCAGAATGTTGTCCATAGGCCCTAAAATGGATGGGGGACCAAATCTGAAGTATTTTGAGTCCCCCGAAACTCTCACAGCTCTGGAAGGAGTGAAGCAGTGGTTGCAAAAGAACGCCAAAAAGGTACATACTCGCTTGATTTGACAAGCATACTTTGTAATTTGTACAATTGCTAAGTTTTAATTCCCTTTTCAGTATGTACAAAATGAACAACTGACCAATAAATCCTTATCCAGTACAACAATCCAGTTTATGCAGTTTCAAGAAGATTTTCTTGGTAAAAATACACAGAAGCCGCCTATGACTCGAATTCCTGTAAGTAATGAACAGCCACCTCAAACAAATAGAGATTCAGAGAAACGATATGCCTTCCTGTTATTTACATCATATTTGCATGATTTTCTATGAAACGTGAGGATGTGGAACACCAATTCAACTGCATGCAGTGAGTGTGATCTAGGGTGAATATCCTAGTGATTGGACAGTTTTGACAAAAATGGTATACAATGTGTTATTATGGATTTTGTGCCCAAGATAAAACTAATAGTTTTGTAGGTAATCATATATGTTGTTGACTTTTCACCAACTCATAGATATTCCTGTAATTTTGTAAAAAAGAAATTAATCAAAAAGGCTGCTATATTGCCAGTACTTGGACAGAAGGTGCGACTAGTTAGCCAGCTAGCTTCCAATTGTCAGACAGCATTTCATAGTCAAGTTTATAGACAGAACTGTATTTAAAAATTTGTGATAGATTAGAAATTTCAAATTAGTTGTTAATAAGACTTTGAGGTAAATGAATTAAACACACTCATTCTGAATCCATTTAATGTAGATATTTTTATCAAAAATACATACAATCTGTACAGAAATGAACAAGAAACTAATTTTTTCCTGTAATCTGGTCCTACACTCTACTTTGAACTACCATACTGTTTACATATTATTTCGATATACAGAATTTATATATTTTTTTGGTATCCATTCCCCAATGAAGGGGAAATGTGAAATTTTATTTCAGTCTTGTAAAAAAAATGGTGGGAAAATAGAAGGAGCCAGTTATTGGGATGCTATGAAAATTCATCTGGCACAATATCATTGGCCATAATCTACAAAAGTTGTTATCTTTTACTGTCCAATAATGATGTGCAACTTGGATATTTTCAAGTATCTAATACTATCCGATGATTAAAATGAATGTATCTGATCTTTTGTATTGGATAGTGAGGATACTCTGGATCACAAAATGTGGATTTTAACTATAGGATGAAAAATATTATGTTTTTTTTTTTTGTTAAAAATTGTGTTTCTAGCTATTTTATTGTTGTTTATTATAAAGATTAAGGAGTATAAAAAATATACTATTATTAATCTTGAATAATTACTAAAATAACATTTGTATTTCTAATCTGTTGATAACTTTATTGTTTCTCTACATAGAATAAGACGTTTGACTTTTAAATGCTTTCGCAGATTCAATATCGCAGATCCCTTATAGGATAATTTATTACCACAAATTTTACCAAGCGCTTTCTTTACTGCTTCATCTAATGTATAATGCAACCACACTACACTTTTTTTTGCTTTGCAAAGGTGACATTATTTAAAAAAATCATACATAAAAAAATTCCTGCGAGCGCAACACAGGCAGACGCAGACTTATTCACTATTTACTTTTTAAATTGCGGTTTTTGCGATATCATACCATCAATTTCGTACTCTTGACAGCTGACAACGAATTTTTTTGATGTTTCACTCATTTCATGGGCTGATGCGCACACAGGCAAAGTCCATCTTTTGTTACTTACACATAATAGACAAGGAAAAGATAATAATTAAAGTAACCGTTTTTCATATGCAGAAACCTGTAATATACTTTCAAATATTGTTAGATTAGCTTGTTAGACGGCAGGCAAAATTAAGTATCCATGGTATTCAAACCCCAAAAAAACGAATATCTGATCCTAGGATTTTATTTAAGTATCAGATACTTTCTATCGGATACCAATATTTTGCACATCACTACTGTCCACCCACTGGCTGGGGCTTTCAGCATGTTTTGGTCTGTTTAATTTTGTGGTTAGACAGAAAAATATAGATTTAAGATGACACAATTCCAATAGTTGGACACTTGTCTGAGTATTGGATTTTGACTAGTATGATGATCCAGTCAGCAGCCATTCCAATTTGACCTCAAAATGTTAAAATAAGATATTGAGATTAATTTATTTTGTAAATTATGAATGTTTTCTGCATATGTAACAAGAACAGCATTTATATTGTCAGCTGACAATTCCTCTTGCCTTTAAAGCCTATATTGCTCTTTCAAGATGACATAATATATGTATAGTCTAATCTTATTAGCAAATTTTCCCAAAATAATTGTAAAGTCTGGTTTCATCGGTGCAAATTGTTCAAGGGGATATTTAAAACCTGGACGCATAAAATGGGTACACCAATTTTTGTGGGAAGAGTTTTTATTTGACAACAAAGAATTAGAAAACGTGTTTTTTGGGATTCAATTGAACGTGTTGACAGGAACGAAAAATAAGATTTTTAGATATTTATGAAACCTACGAAATAAGACTACACGTGAAAAGATCCGACTAATAGACAAAATGTTATGGCTGAAAACTGAGGCAAACTGCAGGTTTTGGAACTTGTTGGTAATGTGACGATGTTTTCTCGCAGATATTTGAAATTCTTCAAATTCGTAGGATTCTTACTTCTAAATAACCAAAACAAAATTGGAGTAGATTGGTCAAGTAGTTTTTGAGAATATCTAATTGTTTATCCCAAAACACCTGTTTTCTGGACATCACTACTAGTTTATTGAGCAATTTACAGGGTTCGCTCAAAGAGCATTTAATAGTAAAATACACGTGTTTCCCATGCCAGTATGAATCACAAACCATTTCGAATGATAAATGTTATTTTTATGCGAAAAACAAAGGTTACGTTTTTTTCTTCTAAACCAATTCAAACATTTCGTATTTGTGAGTAATTGAACGAATGTGCTACGATATTCGAAAAACATACGTTACTATACACATTTTAAAACAAAGCGGACGTCTTATCATCTTTTGTTGCGAATTACTCACAACTACGAAATGTTTGAATTTGTTTAGAAGAAAAAACGTAACCCATCCTTTTTTGCATAAAAATAAAATTTATCTTTCGGAATGTTTTGCGTAAAACAGGTGATTTGGGATAAACAATTAGAAAATTCTCAAACCAAATGTTTGAATTTGTTTAGAAGAAAAAACGTAACCCATCCTTTTTTGCATAAAAATAAAATTTATCTTTCGGAATGTTTTGCGTAAAACAGGTGATTTGGGATAAACAATTAGAAAATTCTCAAACCAAATGTTTGAATTTGTTTAGAAGAAAAAACGTAACCCATCCTTTTTTGCATAAAAATAAAATTTATCTTTCGGAATGTTTTGCGTAAAACAGGTGATTTGGGATAAACAATTAGAAAATTCTCAAAAACTACTTGACCAATCTACTCCAATTTTGTTTTGGCTATTTAGAAGTAAGAATCCCAAGAATTTGAAGAATTTCAAATGTCTGAGAAACCATCGTCGCATTACCAACAAGTGCCAAAACCTGCAGTTTGCCTCAGGTTTCGGCCATAACTTTTTTGCTATTAGTCGGTTCTTTTTACGTGCGATTCATTTTGTAGATCTCATATATACGTATGTATACCTAAAAATCTTATATGAAGTTTTTTCGTTCCTGCCAACACTTTCGATTGAATCCCCAAAAACACGTTTTCTCATTCTTTGTTGTCGAATGCAACGTTTTCCTACAAAAATTGGGGTACCCATTGTATGCGTCCATGTTTTGAATACGGAATACAACTTGCAGCAATAAAACCAGACTACAATTATTTCGCAAACCAGGGGTAGTTTCGTCTAATATGATTAGACCAATACAAATGTTTGCACTAACCACAGATGTTTGCACAGAAAAATTTCATCAAACGTTGTTGGGCAAAAATGATGGAATTTGGAATCCGATTGACTCTCGGATATGTGAATTTCGAGAATTTTTGGGAAGGAAACTGCAAAATAGAGCAAAATTAGCATTTTGGTACCTATTATGAATTAAACTTGATGCATCTATGTCATTTAGTGTGCTTTTAGTTATGTAAATATTTTTTTCAGGTGAAGTACTTTCTTGATTTCAAGCCTGGTGGGGGTTTGTGCCAAATATTTTTAGCTGCTTACCGTTTCAAAAATGAGCATGGATGGAGAAGGTTTGAACTGCCATCAGGAAAGGTACACTATATGTGCTGTTATAATTGTATAAGTTGTTTTACTAATGTCTGTTTTTGATTAAATTTCCAGAATGTTTCAAAGTTGGAAAAGGTGTATGAAATGTTCCAGTCAATAGAAAAGGCTCTGATCAATGCCAAGATGTATGCATTGCCCATTGTGTATATAAAATCGGACGTAGAAAAAAGTATACAGCAAAAAGTGAAAGAAATCATTAAGCGTAGAAATGGACAGGTAGTGGAAAATGAAGAAACAGCAACTCACATAATATATGGATATGTAGATCCATTAAAAGAGGAATATGGAAGACCTGTCACCAGAAGAGAGAAGATGGTCATGATGCACTGGTACTATTTTCCCAATTCATTCGATACATGGGTAAATCTTGAAAGTGTTGGCTTGGATGGGTTATCTATGGACAGTGAAAGCCCCAAGTCTGGCCCCTGGAGAGTTAGTTGTACATGGGTCTATGACACTGACCAGTACAATGAATGGATGTCAGAAGAAGATTATGAGGTTGACGAAAATGGCGTGAAAAAGGTCCATCCTAGACTCATGTCAGTGGAAGACCTCATGAATCCTTCTGAAGATAGGAACAAGAAAAATAAAGGAGGTAAGAGAAAAAGGTCTCCTTCTCCCCCATCCAAAGTTGGCAAAAGGAAAAGTGGCAGAAGCCCTGCTGTTGGAAAGAAAACTAGGCCTGAAGATCCTGAATCAGAGGATTTGACAAAAGATATGGAGGAACCCACACCAGAACCAAATATTGTAGAAGTCAACTCAAATGGCTCAAACAGTCAACCTACAAAGAAAGACCATGAGCTGCAACCACTTAAGGGTGGCTCTATAACAGATTTAGAGGAATCAGAAGAGAGGGGTGAAGATTCCCAAACTGGCAAGAACAGTGATAGTAACACCCAAGATGATGGACAAGAGGATAATGTTACAGAACAGACTCACCATATTATCATTCCCTCTTACTCAGCATGGTTTGATTACAACTCAGTCCATGAAGTTGAAAAACGCGCGTTGCCAGAGTTTTTCAATGGTAGGAATAAGTCGAAAACGCCCGAGATATATCTAGCTTACAGAAACTTTATGATTGATACTTACCGCCTTAATCCAACAGAGTACATTACAAGTACAGCGTGTAGACGTAACCTAGCTGGGGATGTGTGCGCCATCATGAGGGTGCATGCATTCTTGGAACAATGGGGTCTTATCAACTATCAAGTGGACACAGATTCAAGGCCAACGGCTATGGGACCACCCCCAACATCCCATTTCCATATCCTATCTGACACACCTTCAGGACTTCAACCTGTTAATCCGCCTAAAACTCCACAGCCTAGCGCGGCAAAAACTTTATTGGACTTGGACAAACCGCAAGAAACTAAAAAGCCGGAAACTGCTCCTGAAATGTCTAGCTTTGGTCTGAAATTGGATCAGTATGCTAAAAAGCCAGCTGTACTTAGGAATAAAAGTGCTGCGTCCTTGACTAGAGATTGGACAGAACAAGAAACTTTACTTCTTTTAGAAGGATTGGAGATGTATAAAGACGACTGGAACAAAGTTTGTGAGCACGTCAGCTCACGTACTCAAGACGAGTGTATCCTTCATTTCCTGAGACTGCCCATAGAAGATCCGTACTTAGAAGATCCAGAAGCTGGCGGTGCTTTAGGGCCACTAGCTTATCAGCCCATCCCCTTCAGCAAAGCTGGAAATCCAATCATGTCCACAGTAGCTTTCCTAGCTTCCATAGTCGACCCGAGGGTTGCTGCAGCAGCTGCGAAATCGGCCATGAATGAATTCGCAAGCATAAAAGATGAGGTACCCGCTGCTGTGATGGATGCCCATTTGAAAAATGTCGAGGCTTCAAGTTCAGAAGGTACCGAAATGCGTAATATATAAGTTAGCTGAGGCGAAAACATCGCGACATTTTGTAAAGATCGATTTTTTCATATTCACATCTGTTGGGTGCCTTTTAACATGAATCAAGATAGATTTAAAAAAACGATATATGTTTTTTTGGATGTTACATGACGTGAACATCACGAAAAATTGTCACTCATTCCCTTAAGTCGCATGTCCGTTGGAACGTCTACGAGGTCTATCAATTAAGTGATGAGATTTTTTTTTATTTTTTCTATTCAAATATAATTACAATTTTATATCGTCACCCTCAAAATAACTTTGTTCTGAAGCCATACAGTGCTAGAGACGGTTCTTCCACGCCTCATAGCAGAAACTGGAACTCCGATGCTGGAATAGCCTCCAGCTGGTCGGTTACAGCCGTTTGAATGTTTTCGACTGTCCAAAATGAGTCCCATTGAGGTGGTTTTTCAACTTAGGGAAGCGAAAAAGGTCACAAGGACCCAAGTCAGGCGAATAAGGAGGCTGAGGAGCCACAACAATGTTTTTACTGCCCAAAATCTCGTCTATTCTGCCTGCGCGGCTGATTTGGTGTGAAAAAAACACTCCGTACAAGATCCTATATTGTTATTAAGCTGTTAGTAATGCGCGCAGGTAATATTCCATATGCTAGAGAGACGCGTGCATCATCCGCAGCGTATTATTAACAATTAAATAACAATGCTTCAAACACCCAAAATACCCTGCGATGCTTGTAGGTGAAGATTTGAATCATGTTATAATCATTGATAACCTCAGAAATGATTGTTATATATATAGTGTTTTTCAGATTTGTCGCTTATAATTCGAAATGGTCAAGAGAAAATTATCTAAGACACTGTTTGGAGCGAAAAAGCTATTTTAGGCTTACGGCCCGGCAACCTCTTGATTCATGTTGGTACGCATACATCAAACGTAATTATGAAGAAAATTGAGTTGAACAATTACTTTGACGGTGCAAGGTTTTGCCTCGCCTAAAATGCGTAATATTACAGTGGACCCGTGGTAATCCGACAAACGTTTTGCAGGGAGATATAGGATTATCGAATTTGCCGGATTGTAGACTAAGATCTTCTATAGTCCGAAAACTTTTGAATAAGAGTACCTTGTAATCCAAAAAATTACAAATCAGAGTCTATTTGAACTACGAATCATACTACATAATTATGTATATGTATAATATATCTGTGGAATTGAGTAGAGAGCTGATATTTTATTATAAAAATAACATCATCAGTGTTATAGATCTTACAAAAAATAATTACTAAACTTATTTACGGTTGGATGATCAAACAATATATACGAATAATCAAAATCTAAAAATACAAAGGATAATGTGTACCAGTCAATTTATAATGCATTAAAATATTCATTATTTTTTGTTTGTTTAAAGTCTCTTAGTCTTCTTAAAAGTAAAAGTTTGTTGTAGAAACATATGCCATGACGACTTTTGAAACGTTCACGCCTCTAGCCATCCCTTGCTAGCCACAAAGTCATCTTTTTCATTATTTTCTTGTAAAAAACTTAACTTTCGTGGCCAACATGGGTCCCGAAATGGGCGCATTGCCTGTTTCTTTCCTGAAACTTCTGCCACTTCTGGATGTTCAGCTTTCTTTTGCCTGGCCCACAGTCAGTATTTGACACGAAGGTTTTAATCTTCTCGTGTTTCTTTTTAATGTTATAAATTGTAGATCGGCTTATACCTTATTCAATTGCTAAATTGCTGAGGGCTTCATAGCGATTTAAGCGATCCAAAATATCACTTTTTTCTTTGCCAGTGTTGCTTGCGCTTTTGAGCTTGTGAAGACATTACTAGATACGAGTATGTATATGTGACATACAACGATTAAACAATAAACAACAATGAACACTCGCTAGGCTGTGTATACAGTAAAATTCAAATTAAAACAATACACGTCGAGCACAATAGTAGTGCCGCGTATAAGTTACAACGTGCCCAATCATGCATTATGTTAGTGAAGATTTGCCGACATTTTTTATGTTCAATCGACAGTGATAGGCATATCGGATTACGAGGTGCGCTGGATTAGACAGGGTCTGTACCGCGGGTCCACTGTATTTATGGCAGTATTTTAATCCCACTTATTCTCCTTAAGAGTGTTGACTAATCAATGTACTTAATTCTTTTTATTCATCTGGCCGTTTTACATGAATCCAAGGTATTTACCGCATATTCTAGGACTTTTCCAAAGAAATTTTTTATTGTAGGCAAATACGACCCAGCGGCAAATCTTGCTCTCACTGGCATTGCTGGCACTGGTCCAGAAAAAGAAGATGAAGAAAAAGTAAAGAAAGAAGAAGCTAAAGAAGAAGAAAAAAATGAACAGAAGAAATCTACCGAAGTACTGGAAGAGAAAAGTGGCGATAAAGTGAAATCCGAGACTTCTGACAGTGAAAAAGATGAGAAAATGGAAACATCAGATGTGAAAGCAGATAAAACTATCAAAGACAGTGAAATGCAAAGTGCCGCTGCGGCAGCCTTGGCAGCTGCCGCTGTAAAAGCGAAGCACTTGGCAGCTGTGGAGGAAAGAAAAATTAAATCTCTTGTAGCTTTACTGGTTGAAACGCAAATGAAAAAGCTAGAAATCAAACTGAGACATTTCGAAGAACTCGAGACAACGATGGAACGAGAGCGAGAAGGGCTCGAATACCAAAGGCAACAGTTGATCACAGAACGTCAACAGTTCCATTTGGAGCAGCTCAAGGCAGCCGAGTTCAGAGCTAGACAACAGGCGCACCAGCGGTTACAGGCCGAACAAGGGCAGTGGCCTGCCCAACAACAGCAAACTGCCCATAATGCTCCAGCCGGGGAAAGTGGACCTAGCACGACACCCACCCCACCGTCTCCACAAGCTTCAGCTGTTGCTTCGCCCCAAGCGCCCCCACACCATCACATATAGGGCATTACCAAAACTGCTCAACAGTTCTTCTTGATGAGGAACGTTGCAAACCTTCCTGCATTCTAAACATGTACTTCAAAAGCAAATAGCTGCCCGTATACACATTATTTCGCGCCAACTACTGTAACGTCCCGCAGGGGTATTACGTACCTTTAAAAGTGACATTGTGTCGGTTTTTTTGACGTCATATAGGTTTTTCTATAAGATGTTAACTTAGTACTAGCTGGTATACACTTGTGTACTCGTTCCGAAGCTGTACGTATTGCCTAAACGTCACGATGCTTCAGCTTTAGATGGCTCTGATGTGATTTAACATCTGCTTCAGAGATGACATTATTGGAGGTCTAACCTGTAAGTTGTATACGAGGGATGTCTTTTAAGTTTTGCACATGGTAATAAAACAACACCTTAGGTAGTTTTAAATGACTTTATTGTTTTTCGAAGTGTTCTCCACGAAGATTAATACACATCTGCATGCGCTCGAACCAATTTTCGAAGCACTTATTCCACTCATTTGCTGGCAGATCCAAAACGGCATTTTTGAATACATCAACTACTGCTTCTTCTGGTGACTGGACCACGCAGTCTGTTTTTAATTTTCGGGAACGTAAAGAAATCGTTAGGACTTAGATCGGGACTATATGAAGGATGGTCCAATAATTCCACGTTTTCTTCCGTTAAATACTACCTTGTTTTTTGAGCTGTGTGCGAGCTTGCATTGTCTTGGTGGAGGATGATTCTTCTATCGGGATTGATTTTTCGGAGCTCGGTGATGTCTTTTGGCAAACCCCTTTCCCCTGTATCCCCTATAGCCCCACGGTACCCAATGGGTGTTTAGGCCACTTCGAGAACGGATGACTTTTGTTGGCATTTCTTCACCTTGGAACACCCAAACAGCCGACTGTGGTTTATTTTCTGGTTCATAACAGTAAATCCACGATTCATCACCACTAACAATGCTGTACACATTTTTTGAGTTTCCGTTATTGAAACGGTCAAGCGTTTTTTGGCACCAATTAACCCTGGCTGCTTTCTGTTCTTCAGTCAACAGGTGGGGTATCCAACGAGAAACTAATTTTCTTACTCCTAATTCTGCATGTAAAATTTTTTGAATTGAGGTCTTTGAGATCTTCAAGGACGCCTCAATCTCGCGCTATGTCACATGTCTTATCTTCAATGATGAGTTTGCGCACAGCATCGACGTTTTCCTGGGTGACTGCCGTTTTTGGTGCACACAGCCTGGGATCGTCGCTAAGACTCACCCGTCCACGTTTGAGTTCTCCATACCAATGGGAAATTGTCGACTGATGTGGCGCTTCGTTGCCGAAAACAGAAACTCAGCAAGGCATTCTTGTTGAGATAATTGTCTCTGAAAGTTGTAATAAATTATGGCGCGAAAATGTTCTCGGTTGAGTTCCATTTTCTAATGACTTGGTCACACTTAAAAATTCACTGTAGTGAGAACACTGCATGTATTGTTGTGAAACTTTGGATTTAAGTTTACTAAAGTGTGAGGTTAAGATTCAGTACTGACGTTCGATCCGCGCGGCCTACTGTTTCTATATGCAAAACTTAAAAGACATCCCTCGTACCATGACTGGAAAGACACGGCATTGCATAGATGAATAGTGAGGATTTGTATGCTCATCTGTGTTGATGACAATTCCGTTGCTTCCTTGTCCCAAACACACTTGAGATGTATGCAAAGCTAAAAATTAGTTCCGCATCCGCTTTTTCTTATTCAACCTAAAAATTACATATGCAGATTTGCTGAATTTCAAAACAGAGAGCGATAAAAAAAGAAAATGACTGATTGGTGAAGTATATTGAAACTAACAGGCGAGAAAATATGGTACATACAGGAATATTTATGAAACGTTAAAACATTACATTTTTTTACGTAATATCCCTGCCGGGAACACGTGCAAAATCGTTTCTGATAGTGCTTGTCGATAAATGTTATGATAAAATGGAAAGGAATTTTAGACGTTCTTTCATCGTGAGTGGCGCGAACTTTTCACCACCTATAAAATTTTGTCAAGTGCCACGCCACGTCAGACGACTACATGATACTAAGAGGACTGAAAAAACAGGTATACTGAGTGACAAAAAAGGTAAACACCTACGTATGTTTATCCGATTTTATTAATTTTTGGCATACATGTTCAGTGACCCTTACTTGTGAAATTATTAAATGTTCAACTTGATTCAACTGACTGTAGAATGCTGGTTCAAAATGTGTTGAGGATCCACGATTTCTTATACACTCATTGACACGCCTGGACATCGTGCTGATAAGGTGGTCGATATCCTGTTGGGGGTCGATATCCATTCTAGGCTACTGCAGCTTCGTGAGTAAGAGCTGCTAAAGTCTGTGGAGGGTGTTGCAACTTATTCAAAAGCCTGCGACCTATCATATCCCAGACATGTTGGACAATTGGAGATAGGTCAGGCGATCAGGTCAGGCGATCGTGGTGCCAAGGTAAACAGTTGATCCATGAAGGCCAACAGTGCTCTGGCAACATGCGGTCTGTCATTGTCTTGCTGAACAATCGTGATATGGATTGTGTTTAGGTGTGGAATAATATAAGGCTCCACTGCTTCCTGAATATAGCGTCGGGCTCTCATATTGCCTCTGATGAAAATTAGTGGTGATCTGCTACCATAATCAGTAGCACCCCATACCATAACTCCCACGGTGTGGTGAACGTGGCGCTCTCTGTAAAATTGTTGGTCACGTCTTTCACCACGTCGCCTTCTCACTCTTGCCCGACCATCGTGCATCCCCAGACAGAAGCGGGATTCGTCACTAAAGACCACCCGATTTCATTCCCGGTCCCATGGAATTCTTTCTCTACACCTGAGAAAACGGTTACGCCGATGTTCAGCTGTGAGAGGTTGCACCCAATGTAGTAGATAAGAAAAAAGGCCAAACTGTCGTATTCAGCGATATACCGTACGCATACCAACCAACCTTACATGCTCTTCAAACCACTGATTAGCGATGGCTTGAGTACTACTGAATCTGTCTCTCAGAGCCAGAAGTCTTAACCGGAGGTCTTGTCGCTCTGTGGTCCCTCTGGGACGTCCAAAACCTTTCGCTCGCTGTCCTCGTCCTTCCTGAGTCCACACTCGTTCACACTGCAGTATACTGCGTAAGGATCTGTTGGTCCTCCTAGAAACTTCTCTTGTCCATAGACCGGCTTCACGCAACCCGACAATTCGACCCCTCTCAGGGCCGCGCGACCCCCCCACGGCGCCTGTGTGCGAAACCTATGAAGCGCCTCTTTTTTTCATGAATCTTAATATTTCCATTTATTTTTATTTCTTATTTGTTAATTTTGACCGAAATAAATGCTCTCAAGTTTTATAAAATTAGATAATATTTTCCGAAATAGGTAAAACCAGTTGGTTTTCGCTTGCCAATTATTACGAAAAATTAAACGCGAATTAAATTTAACATTACGTATGCTATGTTAAAGTTCCTTAGTCGGGCTGGCGGGGAATCCCCGTGACCCCACCCCGCTTGCGTCGCAGGCATCGCATCGGTCGGGTTGCGTTCATAGACTCATTCAAACAAACGCATGACGGCTCTTTTGATTTTAACGCTGAGCTCGTAATTATTGTAAACTAAAGCCCAAAGCGTAAAATTAAACCACAAACGTGAATATTATCTTGGGACACTTTGTTGTTTTCGAGACATTTGTTGCGCCTATTATACCTACTTATTATCGATACTCCACTACATTGAAATATGTTGTTGTGTAAGTGTAACAAAAATGATTTTGATAGCGGCGCGCCGGCGCCCCTATTGTCTTGGCGCTTGTGTGCGCTGCACACTTCGCACACAGGGGCGGCGCGGCCCTGACCCCTCTCAAAGTCACTTAGCTGGGACACTCGGCGAATTCTACGCACCTAGGCATTTTGAGCAATCACAAAAAGGCTTCTCAATAAGCTACAAGAAATTTAACATTTAACTGACACCGTATATGTACGAAAACTGAATGCTTCTTTATCACCAAACAATACACGCAGCCACTACAAAAACTTGACAGAAAAACCTGACCATTCTATAACTTGTCCATGGCAAGATAAATCTATATTTGAAAAATTCTTGAATTCTAATAAACATACGTAGGTGTTTACCTTTTTTCACTCAGTATATATAAAAAGTGGAGGACTTCTCCCGGTCCGTGAAAATATAAAATACGTTATCAAACCTATAGTCCAGGCGCTAGATGGATCAATAATTCGGACCAGTTTATGATTTTTTATATCCCCTCCCTCATTTCCAAAAACAGTTAGTTTTGGCTTCAACAATTTTTTTCTGATTTCCCGGGCCATTCTGAACAAGGAAGGTCCTTAGTGACTTTTCTATAAAGTTAGTCATTTCTGAACTATAAGCTGTTTAATGTCTGAAAAACCCTACAAATGCGCATCTTCAATGATTAAAAAACTGTAAAAAATCATAATATTTGAAGGTGTCAGGCATCTAAATTAAAGCTAAAACCTTTCCTTTCGAAAAGTGTTTCAACATGCATTTATTTTAAAGCGATTTTTAAGCTAGTTTGGCAAGATCTGGATTATTATTTTTGACCTCTTCTCAGTTAATATCTGTGCATAAAGCGCGGTCCTCACATTTTGCAAACTCATTTCCATCCAGCGCCTGGTATACTATCCATATCTCGTCCTGAAATAACTAGTTCAGTTTTGGAATTGGAGTTCCTCGCGTAATTATGTGGTCTAGAAAAAACATTTTGCTCTTGTGTTGGCAGGCTTTTTTTTCGCGGACGCAAACCGCCACAATTTTCTGCGCGGAAGAACGTTGGGTATGGCCAGCTATTCAATAGCGCAATTGTCGTTTATTTATCTCGCGGATAGCGATACATTTTGTTTCTCTTATTAGGGTTCTCAAAGTCCTGAATGAGTTTCCAAAAATCGCGTGGCAACTTTTCCGAGATAAGTGGATCGCGAGGTTTAACGAAAAAATGGTGTATTTTCGTTTTTGATGGCCCTAATAATGACAACTCGTATCATCACTGGCGCAAGAGAAAAATATTGCTTATTCGATTTTTTTTTGACATCAGTGTAGGCACACTAATTCTATGATTACCTCCACCATATGTTCCACACATAAGTTAAAGTTGCACCAAAACTCGAAACAGTAGCATTACACCTCGTTATCATGATTTTTTACGATTAATATGGCTTTTTGTACTACTTTATTTCTATTATATTTTTACAGTCAATTGTGTGAGGCGACGCGTATTATGTATATTCAAAACTAATTAATTTTTGCCCCTCCCCCCCTCCTTTCCTCTCCCCGCTTTGAGTGAAACATATTGCACATGCTTTATGTTTTGAGATAAAAAAGTCCTCGTCATATACATAGAATGGCTATCAAATATCTAGGGTATCAATTTACAGAAAATAATTATGTACTAGTGGTAGTCCGTGTATTTTGCTGATGGATAAAATAAGCAGCTTTATCAATTTTATTTTTTAAACTGATAATTTTGTAAAAATGGATAATATCGTTTATGAAATTAATTTGATTTTTACAATGCTTTTTTGTACAATTTATGAAATCTTTATAATATTCTAGCGATTGTATTGGTATATTAAATACATTTTTACAATGTGCCCAATGTTTTTTATGCATGTTAGACCTGAGCCTTCTATACCAAAGTTCATGTTTGACAGGAACCCATCTATTTACCGAAGAAACATGTTTTTTCCCGGATCACAGATAAGAGGTTTTCAAATTGTACAAAAATAAGCTGGGGAAAGGCACTGTATACCTACTCATTTGATACAAATAGATGGCAAAAACTAAACAGAGTATGTAGAATACACTACTTTATTATTGTTAATAAAATTACATCAAGTTAACTTTTATAAAAAAAGTTTGTTTATAGAAAAAGTATCAATCTTGAGCATAGTATGAAAGATGAGGTATTTTTAAACATATACCTATACTGAAAATATAGTACATGGCACAATAAGTAACATGTAATAACATTGTTTTTATAAGAAGTGGTAACTAGTGAAACTCATTTTTTTATTTACGAAAACAACATTCATTATTCGAGTACTTAGCTATAACCTAACCATATTTGAATTTGTAACTGATTTGTGGCATTATTTCAATTCCATTAAAATCAAAAAGGGGCATTCGATTGGACTTAAACATTAACAAATATTTACAAAACGTCTATGTGATGTATTTTACGAGGTTCTTGTTGATGCCACAAAGTCACTAATGAAAAATCTGATTCTTTAAATTCTTAAATTGATTGATCCTAAACATAATGCGATTAAAAATACACTTTTAAAGCGTGTACAGGGCGAGTTTTTAGTACCGTCGCGGTAGACAGCCGTTATTGAAATACATATATTTAATAAATTTATTTACAAAAAATATAGGCAAATATACACTCCTCAGTCGGAAAATATACACTATCTACAGGGAGATTCATAACTACCTACTATGTTTTTTTTTTAATAAAATGCTTTATATATTTTAGTAGATTCTGAAAGGTCCTTTCAAAAGAACAATATTGATACAACATGAATAGACTTCTGCAGCGACATACTTTAAAAAAAATACTCGACGATGGTAATTTGTAAATTGGTCAATTTTGCAGATCTGCTGCATATCTGGTTCTTTCTCATTTAATAGTTTTTTAAACTTGGTGCATCCTCTATACGGTATAAACGGAAAATATACTTTTTCTCAAGAAAATCAAATGGAACGCCGTATATATCTTTACGAGGTTGGTTTATCCTTCTTATTTATTTTGGTATGACTTTTTTAAGGGCAGAGTTTTGGTGGATAGGTACAAGCTTTCATTAAAATGAATTGTCATCCACAAAAATGTCTCGGTTTCCACGTATTACGTGGAACTTATTTTACATTGTAATTTTTGGGAACTGCAAATAACTAAAAAAAAATATAATTCAACCCCAACAAATATATACCAACATAAAACTAAAAAAAGGATTATCGAAATATACAAGGTATCCCATTTTGATTTGTTTGAGAAAACGATGAATACAATTTAAAACAAATATGAATGAGAAACAATGGAATAAGAAACGCATTTTGACGAAAAGTCTGTTACTCCATGTGCAAAACTGACTTAGCTGTCAAAGTTGAGTATCTTTTGGACAAAATATCCCGTATCTCCATAAGTAGCGATCAAAACCTTACATATTTTTTATTTTAATGATATCTTTCGGAATACACGGAGATATTTGAAAAAATGCATGCCATGTAGTTATGAATCGCCCTGTAGAGAGCGGTATATTTTCAAAGTAAGAACGTTTGCCTATAATTTTTGTAAAAAACTTTTTTAGATATTTTTTTATAGTAACGGCATTATCGAACGAGTATACACTAGAAGCTCACCCTGCATATGCAATGTATTTACAGATCTTTTCAAAGTATGTAAAAAATAAGGAAATATATTGGATTATTGTTTCAGTAGACCTTGGACGAAGGCGGTTCAGAGCGAAAGCTTTTACTTGAGAGGAATCATGTAAATGCTCAATCAATAATTTTTTTGAATGCTAATATACAAAACGAAAATCTCGTATTCATGGGAGACGTTTTCTCAATCGATTTCAGGACGCACCTTAGCTCAATCAAGGTGTTACCCAACTCAAATTTAAACAATATTCTAAGTTAATCGGTTTTGAGTTATAAGTGACAAAAACCCAAAAATAACCATTACGATGCTTGAAAATAATAGTTTTTGAGGATGGCAAGTGGAAAGTTTACCGTCCTCTCCCATACAAGATCCCGAGGAGTATTCTGAACTTAGTCTATTTCAAAGCGATTAAAACTTTCTGCTAACATCGATGAAAAGATCTATAGACAGTTGCGCCCTTATTAGATTGATTGTGTTATGCTTGACAGACGTTTTCACATTTACCGGACAGATGGTGGATTGAACATTTAAAAATATATCGTATAAATATATTGAATATCACAGTTTAAGTAGTAGTGTTCAACACTGCAGCCTGTACGTTTTTCAGACTAAAAAATATGAATACTTTTTATCTATCATACTGTCAGATTTCTTTCCAAGTATCTATAAATATTTCGTGAGTGGATATTGCTTTCAATAACATCTCAAATTTGAAATTACATGCCATAACCAAAATACAGGCGAGCAATAAAATATTCATAATTACTTGGAAATGATTTCTGCAATATGTGAAAAAGATAAACCATTTGAAGAACAAAAGGAGACTGGTTAGATTAACATTTACTACAACAGAGCGTGTAGAGGCTCCCATACACTGGGAATTTAGATCGTAAATATATGTAAATTACATTAATCCTTAAAAATATATAATAAAAACTACAAAGCAATATCACAATGAACTGTGGACCTAACATTGCACATTGTTTATCCTAGGGTAATGCTCTTAGTTGCTATATGCTATTTAAATTTATCACACAAGCCCGCATTGAGAAGTTATCTGCTACTATACCTCTGTCAAGAACAAAAATCAGTTGAGTATCCCAATAGTTGGTTCCAATAATTCCCATCATTGAGTTCTTATTCAAATTCATTTGAGATAAAAAATTGAAATGGTAAAAACCATCTTGTGTGATAAACTTATTATCAGTTTACTGGCAGATTTTCATAGAAATATGTACCTAGTAAGGTCTCTGAGCACCCTCTGTTCATTCAAGATATAAAATTTGCATAAAATTTATCTAATTAGCTATTTTTGATTTAGGAATTTCTTTTTTTAATATCAAAATATGATTCACTAAAGTATGGCTAACACTTAAAAACTCTCACTGAACTACAATAGCGAACATTCTGTTCATCTACTTACAAGATTATTTCTAATATATACATCGTCCACAATGACATAAATACAAACATGCGATTTTAATACAGCAAAATATATGAAATCCATTCAACAAAAATATACCAACAATTCACTGAAAAATATTTTCCGAGGTTTTTATTAAAATTAGACTTTGTACACAATTACCCAGATAATGTGATTTTTAGTGTGATAGAGTCAAAATATCTTTTTATATAAAGCATTTATTTCATAATATATGTTCATTTTAAAGTTCTGTACCTCTAAAAACACCACACAATTATCCGTTACAATTATGTTCAAACTAAAACATTTTACGAGTTTTTTTGTCCTTCCATAATATAGATATTGGACCCACACTAAAAATTCATCATGTACGTTATATCTTCCATTATGTACAGAATAAGATGTAATCTTGTGATGTGAACGGTTCTATGCCTCTGTGATGCATAATATAACAGAATAAGTAAAGGTACTAGTGAACACTATTTACGATTAAAAGAAGGGTGCAGACAGACTCCAGGGAATAGGTAATTTTTCCTTACAATAAGTGCAACATACAATTGTTTATTGATATCGTTGAAATACTGCTATGTAACGATAAATCCAAATTGGCTTCATTATATCAATTACCTCTCTCACTATCAATCTTCGATAAGAAATGGTATGACCATTTTTGTACAGAATTAAATTCTCCATTATCTCAATCCCATACAATTTTATCGTACGGTAAACGGTTGACGAGAAAATTAACGTCAGAAATTACATTTTTGCTGATAGCGACTAAACTAGTAGCCAAAAATTATGAATTCCCTGAAAATAAAATTTTCTACAAAAAAGGTATCTTGCATTTTTTGCAACTGATTGATATGGTTCCAGAAGTATAAGAACTCGGAACGCTATATACAACATAATTTCACTTGGGAATAGCTCCATAAACATGATGTATGATCAAGAAAAACATGTTGAAGTGAATATTTTTTTTACTGTCACATTTAGTAAGGTGTGATATTTTCGGATGATAATTGAAAATGCAAGACTCACTTTCTTAAGTCTCACTATTGGCCATTTTGTCATTGCGTAGCCTCGGCAATCGTTGCAACAATTTTAATGGAAGGGGAGTAATGTCATAAACCAACATTACCTACTACATTTCCTCTTCCATTTTAATGGAATCACCAATATACAGACTGATCGAAGTGACGTGTTTTTCGTAATGAAAACATCACAAACATTACATTTTCCATAATTATATGTGGTAGGAAAATTGTATTCTTAGTCATAAATGATAATTATGGTCTGGCTTTATCGTTCAATTTCCCGTAAACTATTGTATACTATACAAAATAAATTATGGAAGCAAAATGATAGAGAATCTGATTCCCTACAAAACTCTTTCTATCACCTTTTTACAATGGATCGATGGTTTGAGATATGTGATCAAACGCGTTTTTCAAAATTCCCTATCACGACGCCACTTATTGTAGACTTCTGTTATTCATAATCTCCCTATCCCCTAGCCCAATAAACAGGATTTTGATTTGGTGAAGTGCATGTTTTCGTTTTATCGAATCTGCTTGATAGAAAATGTTCAAATATTTCGTAACTCAATCTTGAATCTCGTGGAATAAAACTGATCAAATACATTCTTTCCTAGCATTTTTATTTTATTGCACAGCTTCAGGAAGATAATAATTATGAAACCAACATTTTAAATTGAAAACATGATAGATGGAAAATACTATTCAACTTATTGCACTATAAGTATAAAAATTACCTAAATAAGTGATGTAGAGTTTCCACGGTTCAAAACAGTAAGGAATGATGAGTTAAAAATATTCATAATAGACTAGAAAAATTATAAATGCACCTAACTTTGATATCAATAGTGTATCCAATGCAATATTTGGAGTCTTGTGTATAAAAAATGGCATAGACTACGTTAGAAACTTATTCCAAGTATTTTCACAGCTCTTCAAAAGGCTCCAAAAACTACTGTAACGTATAAAGAATTACATATAAAAATAACCACAAAAATATTAACACGTAAAATGTGTCAGCGTATATAAAAATAAATTTGAGTATATACAGTATATTTCACACTTGAGGTGTAACATTTTATCACTACTAACCCAAGATATCATCATTATTGAACTTGTCAATTAAAGAAAGTAGCATAGTAAATAATTAAATGTGTCATTTCACATACTTCATGTCACACGATTTCAGTTCTTCATTAATTAATTAAAGCTGTATCATTCACAAATAAACCAGTGTTGAAGGACTTTTTTGGGATAAATATAGTATTTGATATTGAAAGATTACTTTTGCATGTTTTAAGATCTTTCAGCAAAAAGGAAAAAAAATATGATTTAAGAGACGATCACAATATATTGTACTTTGAAATATGCCACCGAGGTGGTCGAAACGTTAGTAAACTCTTGATTCTACATCTGTGGCTTCATTTGACAGCCTCAGAACATGGAGATTGATCTGCGAGACAACTACAGAATAATATTCAGATGTTACATTCATTTACGTTGTTTATGCAATGAACGTTTTTTATGCGATATTATTTAAGGAAGGAATGTATCGACTTACGTGAAAACCATCTTAGAAAAAATATGACTATAGTGGTCTTTAAAATGACCAACTCAATTATAACAACAAAACATACATGTGAATGCGAATTTTATTTAAAATTATATTCTGATTTCCTGTTGTTAATTTCACAACCACTTTTCTATCTGAAATATTTGAAAACGAGTAAGAAATTACAAATGTTTGTAGGTTTGTACTTTATTTGAAATAGGCATGTCTAAACTGGCTATGCATTTATCAATTTGAGTTTTAAAGCAGGCCACAAGCGGTTTTTTTCAACAATCAATTTCTAAATGTCCGAAACGGAACAGTGGACCAGATCAGTTTAGCTCGTAGCTAGGCGACATCACATCAGTACTTTGTTTGGATGATTGCATCTGAAATTATTTGATAGTCATAAGTTCTTTATTGGAAGTAACCCTAGATATTTCAAAGAATTTGTAAAATGGGTAGGAAACGTCATCATCGTTGATTTGCTTATTGGTCAGATTGAATGACGAAGATATAAATAATATACGGTGAGGTTCAAATTTGGCTGATGTAATGTGAACACGATAAGCGTGGGATTGTATGTTAAGCCATGTACAGATATGTAACAACACCGCGAACCGAACCTCGCGACGAACCGCAGCGCGCGCATTTTGACGAACAACATTGCAACGAGCATCATCACAAACCGAACCACGTCGTGCAACCACATCGCGCAACAAAATGACGATCCAATTTTGATGTTTGTCGTTCAGTGAAAGACATCATTTTTTTTTAATTTATTGTAATGCTCTATAAGCAAAAGAGTTTTCTCCTCCGACCATTCCATCTTTTCTTCACGGGCTCTATCCATTTACTGATATGAGCGCGTACTCGCCGCACCGATATTCCAGTCCAAACATGTCCAACTTCGTCGCGAGCCTTTCCTTTGATGTTACGCTGAAAAACCGACAGTCTGTATCGGGCCGAACGGCGAGCTGTAACGCTTATCAGGTTCGCGACGGCGTTTTTTTTTCACCGTCTAGACTAGCGCGGCCCAGTTCGTCGAGTGGTTCGGTTCGCGGTGTTGTTACATATCTGTACATAGCTTTAGAAAGAGCGCGCCGATGGATTCCGTGACCTCGTACTCGGGTTGCTAGGCAACGAGGTGCTTCTATCTCTTTCAAACACACGTATCGCACGCATCTCACTCGTGGTATTTGGCTTTCAGTGTATATTATACACTACTCAAAAAAATTAAGGAAACAAGAAAAAACCAAATTTTTCGGTGACTTTTTACAAGCTCTATTTCGGTGAAAAATGCTCGTATCTATTCTTGAAAAAAAGCATTTTGAGGCTTTAAGATTTTGGTTTTCAAGTTTTTAGCCGAAACATTTTAGGAGCATGGAAAAATAATCTAAAAAGAAGGCAAACATTTTCTTGCACTGTTGGAAATGAATGAGAACCATTGCTCCTAAAATGTTTCGGCTAAAAGATCTGGAAACTAGAATTTTGAAGCGTCACAAATCTAGAGACGGACATTTTTCACCGAAATACAGCCTGTCAAAAATAACCGAAAAAAATGGATTTTTTTCTTGCTCCCTTAATTATATATATATATATTGGAATCAATAATGGTGATACATAGGAGTAGTGACAAAATTCTATATATACCTTGTTTGAGAAGTGCACCATTGATCTACGTATGTATGTATTGTTCACTAAACATAATCAATACGGTAATCAATTTTCTGTGTCACACTGTATATAATTCATTGTTCACTATATAAAATCAATACCGTGGTGGGTTTTCCACCTTAGGCAATTGCTATTCGGCTTCATTCTTGATTTTGCTAGTCAGCTGGTTCAATTCAGCCTCAAACGGTACTTGTTCGTCTACGAAGTTTATGCTTCCAGCTTTGTACCATACTATCACATCTACGAAAAATGCACATAAAAGTATCGCCCCTGTCGTACCTGAAAATGAAAATGGCGTATAAAAAAGCATCCTAGAGCCTAATAGAAATATAAAATGGGTGACTTGGTATCTTTGTGAGAAAGAGAATTGTCAGTTAGAGTTAGAGTTTGACTTCCAAGCATACTTAGCGTCGCCGAGCGGGAGCAAAAACAGACTACACTGCTACTGCCCTCGAATTCGCAATTTACGTACAAGATTTACCCAGAATATGACATCGTAGGTAACTCAGACGGACATATTAATTCTGTGATAGTGATGATTAATTTCTCAAAATCAAAAATAAAATCGTTTGATACAGTTAATCACAAAACTATGTTGAGCAAGCTGAAGTTGTCTGATATTCCGCTAAGATTTTTCATAATCTACTTGGCTGAAAGAAAGCAGGTTAGAAGCGTCTTTTCTAATACTGCGGTTTCATCTGGTGTTCCGCAGCGGTCAGTTCTGGGGCCTCTGCTATAATTTATATGATTATCATTTCACTTTCTCTGTTAAGTGAAGTGTCGTTTTAAATTGATACTGATCTAATATTACATACTTTTGCAAAAAGCTCTGTCTCAGAATCGCTCCAGAAAAGAGCTCTGGTATGCTTTTTTTCTCCTAAACTATATAACATAAAGGACGCCATTGCATTGATTATAAGTAATGAGCGCATCCCATAGTAGAATATTCTAGAAACCTGGGTGTTATCGTAGACTCTGACTTGAAATCTGATAGAAACATAGTTGCCTATCTCAAAAAACTTATGCCAAATTGAATCTTTTACATTCCAACAGGTACATTTTAAACCTCACTAAAGTCCTTTTTCAAAAAAGCTTTACCATTCATTCTGTCAGGTTCTATAATTATACTGGTCCAATTTATCGTAGTAAAACTATAGTACTTTTCAGGTGGCTTGTTAAGAAACAGATGATGGGATAGTTTAAAAAGGTACTGTGATGTGAACTGTTTAAACTGTGCATCTGTTAAATCGCTTTTTTTTCTGTTTCGAATTACCTTGCTTTGTTGGCTCGTACTGTTGTATGTAATTGTAAACACTGTCTTTGAGGGTTAAGTGTAAGAGTAGCTCTTTGGTTAAACTTCGCCTCACTGAGGTGTATTAATAAAGGAATTTATTATTATTATTAAATGAGTTTCTGTCCAGATACGCAGGGATAGGAAACCTTGAAATTTACTCAGTGCCAAAGAAAAATAGAACACCCAGTAAAATGATTATATTTGAATGAATATATAAAATTAACCATAAGCAAGAGAAAGTTGTGATTGAATTTGAAGTGAAAACATTTGCGGTATCGCTACTAGGTTTCGGGCCACGATCAGCTGATTTATGTCTACGTGAGGCACCTGCGCCTAAAGGGCTGCTAGCGTGTGTAGATGATCTGGCGTTCTTCCTATCATATAACGCGCAGGTTCAATTGGTAAATGAGGCCAAGGAATAGGAATGAGGTTGACTTGAGCGTTATTGAAGAAGCCTGTTGTAGCACTAGCAATGTGGGAAACGGCATTATTGTGTTGGAAAATAGGATTCTTAAGCGTCTTGAGAAATAGCAAAAGATGGGATTAAAATGTTATCTAAGTATAACGTTGCGCCGTCATATAAAGGGTTTGTCCGGAAAGTAATAGGACTCATTTTCTTCCGCCATGACTATACTTCGGAGCGTGCGCACACCGACTGGATTCGGTAGAGGGCGTTCCTAGCTAAGGAATGAGCGGCTGGTCAGTTGTCTCCGAGCACTTGGAGAGTCAGGACAGGCATTTTTGCGCGACATTAGAGCAGAGGTACGGGATTAAATTCCGTGTTAAACTCGGTAAATCTGCGACAGAGACCTTTGATATGATCAAGCAGGCTCACCCAGGTGTTGCTTTAGCAAGAAGTGGTGTATTTCGTTGGCACCAGGCCTTTTTGGAGGGCCGAGAAGAGGTCGCTGATGAAGACCGTGCTGGAAGACCTTCGACTTCGACAAACACGGATAATGTGACTCGTGTGCGCAAAGTTTTGAACTCAGACCGTCGACTAAGTATTCGTTTAATTGCCCATATGTTAAATTTACCAAAATCTGTGGTTCATGACATTGTGATACAGCATTTGAACATGCGCAAGGTGTGCGCGAAGATGACCCCAAAAGTGCTCACTGACGACCAGAAATTGCGGCTAGTGGCAGTGTGCCAAGAAAATTTGAACATGTGTGAAAGTGACCCCCAATTTTTGAATAACGTAATCACAGGTGACGAGTCGTGGATCTTTGAGTATGATCCCGAGACAAAGAGGCAATCTTCCGAGTGGCACACGACGGCGTCTTCTCGCCCAAAAAAGGGAAGAATGAGCAAATCCAAAGTGAAAACGATGCTCATTGTCTTTTTTGAGATCAAAGGCACCGTCCACCATGAATTTGTTCCTCCTGGACAAACCGTCAACGCCAAGTTTTACGTGGAAGTGCTCAGGAGACTTAAACGAAGGGTCAGTCGGGTCCGACAAGACATCGCAGCCGACTGGAAGTTGCACCACGACAACGCCCCGGCTCACACCGCCTTTCTTGTGAACAGCTACCTGACCAAGGCCGGCATCCCAACGCTTCCGCAGCCGCCCTACAGCCCAGATATGCCCCCTCGGACTTTTTTTTTGTTTCCTCGCCTGAAAAGGCCGGCAAGCATTTTGAGACGACAGAGGGGATCCAAGCAGCATGCACCGCGGCTCTCAAGGCTATTCCGGAGATTGCCTTCCGTGACGCCTTCAATGCTTGGAAATCGCGCTGGCAGCGCTGCATCGACGCAGAAGGAGCCTATTTTGAAAGTTTTTAAAGAATTGTAACAATTGGCTCAATACATGTTTTTAAATCGACTCAGTCCTAATACTTTCCGGACAAACCCTGTATCCTCTAATGCAAACTATAAAGAGGTGACTTAGTGGCACCCCAAACCATAACTCCTGCAGTATTATGTTTACGTGTTTTTCCTTCGCCGTACCGCCATGATGGATTTCTCAGTCAAAAATCATTTTTTACGCCGAAGCAAGCGGAAAAAGCTGCCTCTTGTAGATTGTTCCACAATCTCGACACCCTCGGGAGAAAAGAGCGGTAGTATCGGCCAGTTCTGGTTATACGAAGTTCGACCCGTGCGTTTCTTGAAATTCCTGTAGTTACAAGCGGACGAAACTGCATGTAGTAGTAGCAGATAAAAGGATTGTTTCAAAAATAAGGTTCTCAATGCTGTATCAATGCCGCGCGTGATGCTAGGCGAAATCTGGCAGCAGCGTCGTGTTTGTCGGCTCCCCCACCACCGATCCCAACAAGAAGCGCGTATTTGCGATGCTCAGTACTGGCCTGACAGCCATGCGCGCTCATCGCTGTCACCGCCAGGTGAGAAATTCGTGCGGTCATCCGATTTTTGCAGGCAATAACGTGACCACTCATAGAAATTCATCGCCACTTGAGTGAAGTATATGGAGGAACGTGTATAAGCATCCAACATGTCCTCAAATAGTGAAGAGAGTGTTTTGACGGCCGCACGGACATTTTTTTATGCCGCAGCAGCCGCGTAGGTAGAAGCCTAAATGCCGGGACACCGCGGCTGCTATGATGATCTCAAAGAAATTTTGTTAATCCGATTTTTGAACTGCCTAAGGTTAGTATAACTGGGAAAAGCTTCCTCTGGTAGATTGTTCCACAATCTCGACACCCTCGGGACAAAGGAGCGGTCGTATCGGCCAGTTCTAGAAGTTCGATACGGTTAGGATGGGAGGCCAAAGCCGGGCGGGTCTGTCTGGCAGGCACATCGCGCGGCGGCATCATGGAGGAGAGCTCTAAGGAGCAAAGCCCGTTGCTGTAGCGGTAGAAGAGAGCTGGATCGCCGACGGTCCGCCGGTGTGAAAGGGTGCCTAGACTGTCTGTTAGAGAAGAGTCATCGATCAGTCGGACAGCCCTTGTCTGGACAGGATTGAGCATAAATAATGTAGTCGGGGCGGCAGCACCCCAAACGTGTGAGCAATACTCGAGGCTAGGCCTTATCTGGGCCTTGTATAGAGTGAGAACGTCATGCGGAGAAAAGTAATTCTAAGCCCTAAACAGATAGCCTAGCTTTGTCCCAGCAGTTGCCACTATGGACGAGATGTGTTCGTGCAAGATCAGGTTCTCGGTGATCTAGACTCCGACCAGCCGAAGTGAACGGCTCTTTGGCAGAACTCGGCCATCCATCGAAACCGGATGAGCGCCAGGACGCTTTTTGTTCGTCAAGGTACAGTACTGTGTTTTGGAAGCATTGAACTGTACAAGATTGTTGCATCCCCAAGCAGATAACCTCCAGGTCTCTCGTCGGAGAGGAAGTAGTCGATAGTCTTTTTTCCAGCTCAGCGGCAGAGATCGGCTCTGAATTTCTGCATGTAGAGTGCTATCATCAGCGAAGCTGTGGATTGGATTGATCGTGCAGGAAAGAAGGTAATATGTAATAGGAACAGTGTCGGAGCCAAGACCGATTGTGGCATGAAGAGGAGAACCCGTCAATTACGACGGATATCTTGCGTCCAGAGATAAAGTCAACCACCCATATGCAAAGCTTTTCTGGGAGGCCATAGGATGGAAGTTTGTTTAAGATGGCAGCGTGTCACGGCTGATCCAACGCTTTCGTGATGTCAAGAGAAACGACATAAGCCTCACCATAAGACTGGATGAGTTTACTCCACAATTGCGTGACGTAAGCTAGGAGGTCCCCTGTGGATCGCTGGTGCCGGAAGCCATACTGCCTGTCGCTAATCAAGCGGTGACGTTCGAGGTAGTCCAGAAGCTCGAGATTTATGCACCTCTTCATCACCTTACTTATAACAGAAAGCAGAGCTAGCCTGTAGTTGTAAAGATCGGTCTTAGATCCTTTTTTTTGGGATGGGTTGGATATGAGCAAATTTCCAGTTTTCTGGGAAGGTGCCGGATTCATAAGATATCTGGAAGAGACGCGAACGAACTGGAGCAAGCTCCGCTGCACACCTCTTCAGTACAATGGCAGGAATCAAGCC